GGTAGAGGGTGGGGGTGGGGTGGAGGGAGGGGGCTGAGGAGGGAGGGAGTACGTGGGAGTCGGGGCGCTGGCTGCCGTGCAGTAGCTGAGGCACACGGCGGCGCCGCGGCCCACGCGGCGCGGCCCGCACGCCGCCACCTGATCCGTGGCGGAAGATGCGGATGGATGGGAAGGCGGTGATGTAGTGCTTGCGGCACAGGTCCACCTCAGCCGTGCAGTCCACCTGCGCGGGCGGCGGCGGCGTGCACGTCGCAGGTGAGCCGCTCCAGGGAGGCGCACCGGTGGCTGTGCCTCCAGGCGCGGGCTGCTGCCCCGCTCATCAGCCGACCTTCAGCGCCAAAGCCCCCCCTCCACCACCACCACCACCCACCACCTGCTGCCACACTGTGGCCCGCCGCCGCCGCCGCGCTGCACTCCCCACCCCCACGCACGCCCCCCGCAACGCCGACGCCGCCGCCGCGCTGCACTCCCCACCCCCACGCACGCCCCCCGCAACGCCGCCGCCGCCGCCGCCGCCCGCCGCCCCACCTTTGCCAGGCGTATGCGCCCGTCGCTCTCCGGGTACCGGTTGTGGATCTCCTCCGTGGTGGCTTCCCAGGTGGGGCCCAGCCGCTGGCACCAGGGGCACCAGGGGGCGAAGAAGTTGACGACCAAGATGTCGTACTGCGCCGCCGTCTGGTCAAACATGTCGTTGGTCAGCGGCACCGAGATGTTGACGTCCTCGTACTGGAAGCCCTGCAGGGCAGGAGGGGGGGGCGGTTGCAGGGCGGAGGAGGGCGGGGCGAGGGCAGGGCGGTGGCGCGTAGGTGGGAGGCTTGGGTGGGCGGGGGCCGCGGGCGCGCTGCCTGCCCCCGCACGGCGCCGCCGCTGCGCCGGCAGGGAGGCGCCCGGCTCGCGCGCGGCGCAGCGCCCCGGCCGCCCCCCTCCTGGTGCGCCCAGCTCCGGCGCCCCGCACGCCAGGCCAGGCCGCCGCTCACCGGATGCTCCTCGTCGTACTTTGGGTCATGGTGCTTCTTATCCTCCACAGCCTGCCCCGCCCTCTGCATCTCCTCCGTGATCGGCTGCTTGCGCACCGTCTTGGTGAGGTTGAGCCGCTTCTGCGGCAGCAGCGCAGGCGCAGGCGCAGGGGCCGGGGTCTGGCCGGAGGCCGGCGCAGGCGCGCCGCCGGCGACGCTCGCTGCGCACGCGCGCGTCCCGCTGCCGCTGCTACTGCGCCGCTGCTGGCGGGCAGCGCGGCTCGCTCGCCCCACATCCCCGCCGCCCAGCCCACCCCGTGACGACCCCTCCACTCAGCCGCGGCCACCGCCGCCGCCGTCGCACACACAAGCATGCACGCAGCCCACCACCAGCCCACCAGCCCCAGGCCCAGGCCCAGCCCCGCTGCCGGCTGCGCTCACCAGGCCCATGGCGTCCGACACGTCCAGCGTGGCAAACTCGCAGGAGAGCTGCGGGAAGGAGATGTTGAAGTTGACGCGCAGCAGCTCGCCGTGGGCGGAGCGGTCCACCACCATGTCGGTGCGGGTCTGGGTGGACATGTAGGAGGAGAGCTCCTGCGGGAGGGAGGGAGGGGGGGAGGCGCGTGGTGGTGGTGAGCGGCAGCGGGGTGGGCGGCAGCGGCAGTGCTGCTTCCAGGAACGGCTGGCTCCTCTGCCTGGTCGCTGCCGCGAACGGACACCAGGGCGTGAACGGGACAGGCCATTGGCAGCAGCAGGTGGCGGGCCGCGGCGCACCGCTCCCAGCAGGAAGAGAATGATGAAGGTGGTGGCGATGGATATCGCGGCGCCCGACAGCGTCGCCTCTGTCAAGTCTGTGGGCAGCTTTCTGCAGACGGGCGGCAGGCGGCGGGCGGCGGGAGCGGCGGCGGCGGCTTGGTCCACTCCCGGCTACGCAGCTCCCCACGTCACATCGTGCCGCACACTGCTTCCCCGCACCTGTAAAAGTCCACAGACTTGAGCCTCTGCAGCAGGGACGGGGGCACGGATGTGGGCGCGCCAATCTCTTGCCCTTGCACTGATCCCCCGCCCTTCAGCAGTCAGTGCACTCTTTCTGGTGGCCCCTTGGGAGGTGCTGCCCCCGATGCTGCCCCTCCAGCCCCTCACCGCCAGAGTGCGAGGCGCCATGGCTGCCTAGGTGTGGGGCTCCCTTCGCCCTGGGCACACAATCAATTGAGGCCCTCCAATGCCGTGAGCACAGGTGCCAGCGTCTCCCCCTGCCAGCACTGTCAGGGCACTTGCGCCCCGAACCCTCTTGCAGGAGCAAGGCCCTACTGCCTTAGATTTAAGACGGCCTTGGATACTGCTGCGGCGGGGCGATGGGGGCCCCAGTTCAGCGTTTTCCAGCAGGAAAGAGAAGAGTCCATGATGGCTGTTCTGGTGTGTCGGCGGGCCGGGCATTGCGAATCAGGCAGTGTGCGGCAATCGTGGGGAGCCTGGGATAGCCGGCAACACCACACAGGCGGGTGCCACTTGTGTGAGCTGATCAAGACGCTCGCCCCCCTATGGCAGCAACGGAGATTGCAGATGGATGGTACTACCTCGACGGCGAGCAGCAGTCGCAGGGGCCCTTCCCCCTGAGCTACCTGCAGAGTGAGTCGCGCCGCCGCTCGCCGCCCCACCGCCCCCGCACCCTGCCGTTGTGGCTTGTGGCTCTTCCCCATCGAATGCCTTCTGTGCAAGTGAATGCACCATTAAGCAGGGTTGCAGGTGGCTGCCATGCGATGTCGGCGGCCTGGGCTGCTGTCCTGGCCAGGCCTCGGCCTGCACGTGGCAGGGCCCGCCCCTCCACGCGTCCCCCGCTTGTGCATCATTCCCGTGCTGCCACTCCACGCTGTGCAGCCCTCAACCAGCATGGCGGCTACTTCAAGAACCACGAGGTCATGTTCTGGAGGGAGGGGCAGGGGGAGTGGAAGCCGCTGCGGGAGCTGGCAGAGCTGCAGCATGCGCTGCAGCAGGCGCCGCCGGCGGGCGGCGCCGACGCGGCCGCCGCGGCCCCCGCAGCAGCAGGCGGCGGCCCGCCCCCGGCAGCCGGGAGGAGGCGAGGCGCGGCGGCCGCCGCAGCGGCAGCAGTGCCGGCTGACCCACAGCTGGCTGGCTTCCTGTCTGAGATCTCGGCGCTCGGGGCGGAGGGGGAGGGGGAGGGCGGCGACGCCGAGGCAGGCGCTCCCGCCTCGCCGCCTGCCGACGAGCGCCAGTTTGAGGACGACGACGGCACCGTGTACGTGTGGCACTCCGGCCTGCGCAAGTTCATGCCGCTGGGGGAAGGGCAGGCGGGTGGCGCCGCCGGGCCGGCGGCCGCCCCTGCCGCGCCCTACAACGAGCAGGACATGGTGTTTGTGCCTGAGGAGGAGCAGCTGCCCGAGTATGTGCCTCCGCCCAAGGCAAGCCTAGGGGGCAGCCGCTGGGGCGGCAGGCGGCGCAGGGGCTGCAGGGCGGTGTGCGCTGGGACACGGGCCCGGCAGGCGCAGCGTTGGCTGGCAGGCGCTGCTGGCCGGGTGTCGCGGCGCGGCCGCCTGCCCTGCCGCCCATCCCGCCTGCCGCCTGCCGCCTGCCCTGCAGTATGCTGACCTGCCAGACATCGAGGAGGAGGAGGCGGCGGCAGGCCGCAAGCCGCGGCCGCAGGGCGGGGACGCGCAGCAGCCCGCCGCCGCCGCGGCGGGCGGCGCGCTCGGGCAGCAGGCGGCGGGCGGCGGCGGCGGCGGCGGAGACAAGCGCGGCGCGCAGGAGGCTGCCCTGGAGCACGCGCGGGAGAAGTCGAAGAAGGCCAAAGCCAGCCAGCCGCAGGGCTGGTTTGACCTCAAGATCAACACTAACGTGTGAGTGGCCTGCGTGTGCGGTCAGCGGGGCTGCGCTCTTGCGCTGCGGGCGCTCACGGCCGCCACGCGTGGCCGCCACGCCCGCGGCTGCCGGGGCGGGGGCAAGTCGGGTGCGGTCGTCGCCGGGGGCTGCCATCGCTGCTGCGCTGATGCTGCCGCCGCCGCTGCCGTGCGCGGCGTGCGGGGGGCGCAGGTATGTGACGGGGCTGCCCGAGGATGTGAGCGAGGCTGAGATAGTGGAGGTGTTCAGCAAGTGCGGCGTCATCAAGGAGGATCTGGAGGTAGGCGGGGCAGGGGGGTGTGGGGCGTGTGGGTGCGGGTGTGGGTGTGGGGGCGTGGCATGGCGGCGTGGCAGCCACTGCCCAGCTCTGCAGCCAGCTGTGCGCCTCCCGCCCGCTCCCCTGCCCCTCCCTCCGCACACCCGCCCCACCCCTGCCTGCCGCCCGCTCCCCGGTGCTGCTGTGCCTGCTGCAGGGCAAGCCGCGCATCAAGATTTACCGGGACAGGGAGAGCGGGCGGCCCAAGGGCGACGGGCTGATCACGTACCTCAAGGAGCCGTCGGTGGACCTGGCGGTACAGGTCGGGGCGCCTGTGGCGGGCAGGGGCGGGGGCGGGGGCAGGGCGCAGCAGCGGGCGGCAGGGGGCTGGCGAGCAGCTGCCAGGGCGGGGCTGGGGAGGGCTGGGATGATGTGCGCTGGCTCTGCAGACTGCGCGGCTTGCTGGCGATGCCTGCTTCGCCTGCTGCCCTGCCCACCTGCACGCCCGCCGCTCCCCAACCGCCACCGCCTCCTCCTCCGCTGGTGCAGATCCTGGACGGCACGCCGCTGCGCTACGGCCTGCCCCAGGTCATGAGCGTGAGCAAGGCGCAGTTTGAGCAGAAGGGAGAGGCGTTTGTGGCGCGCGCATCCAACAAGAAGGCAGCCAAGAAGAAGCTGGAGAAGCTGGAGCGGCGGGCGCTGGGCTGGGGCGGCTTTGACGACACGCTCAAGCCGCAGCAGGTGGGGGTGTGAGCGTGTGTGTGTGTGTGTGTGTGAGGGGGGGGTGTCGGGTGTTGTGGCTGTGCCAGGTGGGGAAGTAACCGCCGGGGACTGGGATGTGTGCTCGCCGTGGCTGGGCATGCGCCTGCATGTGTGCGTCCTGGGGCAGGCAGCTGGCAGTAAGGCCCTGCGCTGGAGCTGCCTGCCTGCCTCCTCCCCGCAATGCCCGATGCCGGCGCTGGCTGACGCTCTCTCCTGCCCTGCGCCTGGGGTGCTGTTGGCTGCCTCCCCCTGCAGGTGACGGTCATTCTGAAGCACATGTTTGAGCCCGGGGAGCTGGTGGAGAGCCCTGCGCTCAAGGATGAGCTGGAGACCGACATCCGGTCGGAGTGCGGCAAGCTGGGCAAGGTGGACAAGGTGAGGGTGTGGGCCGGGTGGCCGGGTGGGGGCAGCCAGTGCGGGAAGCGAGGACTGGTGAGCCGCTGCCCAGTTCCGCCCGCGCCTCTGCCCTGCCACCTGCCCGTCACAAACACACGCACGCGCGGTCTGCTCCTGTCCTGCGCGGCGCAGCTGCGCGTGTTTGCGGCGCACCCCCAGGGCGTCGTATCTGTCAAGTTCACCACGCTGGAGGCGGCGGACGAGTGCGTGCGCGTCATGAACGGCCGCTTCTTTGGCGGGCGCCAGCTGGAGGCGGCCAAGTGGGATGGCTTCACCAACTTCAACGTCAAGGTGCAGTGGGCTGCGCCGGCGGTGGCCGCAGCACCAGCAGGCTGCAGGGCGAGGATGGCTCGCCGACTGGCTGCGTCGGTGGCAGTGGTGCCTGCGGCGGCCAGCGGCCTGCGAGCCGTCACATGCCGTGCTTGTGGCCTGCTGCCCGACCAACCAGCTGCCTGCCCGGCCCCCGGCCCCGAGCGGTGCAGGTGCAGGAGAGTGAGGAGGAGCAGCAGGCACGGCTGGAGCGGTTTGCGCGGGAGCTGGAGGCGGGTGGTGCGGCGGGCGCGGAGCCAGCGGAACAGTGACCCTTGCCTGCTCGCTCCTGTTGCTGCCATCGCACACCACAGTTGCAACATCGACCCTTGCGCCATGCCGGCAGCATGAAAAGCTTGCGTCAGCACAGGCCACAGCATCAAGCATCTCGCTGCGTGCCAGGGGCTGGCCAGGGCAGGTCTACTGCTGCCCTGCTGCTTCTGTTGCTCCCGAGGTCTGACGCTGCTTGCCTCGGCCTCGGCCGCGCCCGCCGCCGCCGCGCCCGCCGCCCTCTGCTGCGCCGTGGCCGCCAGCGCTGCCGCCACCTGGCTGCAGCTGAGGCAGGGCTTGCTGCAGCAGGCGGCCCACCACCTTGGGCTGATACGCGACAAAGCCGCCCCGCACTCGCTCCGGCTTGGATGCGCGCTGCTTGAGCGCCTGCAATGATGAATGCACAAAGAGCGCAGCCACGTGAGCATGAAGTGGGTTGTGGCCGGGGCAGGCGTGCCTCCAGCAACCTCGCAACTCACGAGGCATGCCTCCTGCCGCCTCGCAATACACAACCTGCATGGACCAGCGGGCTGCCAGGCCAACATGAACCACACGTCTGCTGCTGCCCCCGCCACTCCATGCAGCACACACCTCGCCTGCACTGCTGCTGGTGGAGGCAGCCTCCTGGGCGGCTGGGAGCGCCTCCTGGGCAGCCGCCTGCTGCATGGAGGCCGGCCGCGCCAGCAGCTTGGGAGCAGCCTGCTGCTGCGCCGCCTGTGGCTGCTCCTTCTGCTGCTTGGGCTGAGCCTGCTTGGCGGGTGGCTGCTTGTCTGCCTGCTTGGCGTGTGGCTGCTTCCCCGGCGGCTTCTTGGGGTTGTCTGGCTTAGACTGCTGCTGCTGCTGCTGCTGCGAGGAGGTTGGTACTGGCGCTGCTGCCGCTGCTGGCCGCTTCAGGATGCCTGGCGGGGGCGCTGATGCTGCAGGCTCTGCCGCAGCTGGCAGCTTCTTGGGGCCCACCAGGACGGCTTTCTTCCCTCCCTTGTGGCTGCTAGCAACCGCCGCCGCCTGCTTGGCATCCCCTTTCTTCGCCGCCGCTGCCGCAGCGGCCGCCTGCTTGGCATCTCCTTTCTTCCCCGCCGCCACCATTGTCACCACGACCTTGCCCTTCTTCTCCGTGGCGCCCCCTCCGGCTGCCGCCGCCTTGCCCTTGCCTCCACCCGCCGATGCGGCTGCCTTGGCACCGCGCCGTGCCTGTGCCACCGCCTTGGGCTGGCGCTTGTCCTTCAGGTACTGCATCAGAGGGGTGACGATGAGCGAGGGTGTGGCGCCGCCGTCCGCGGCCGCCAGGGGCTCCACAGCCTCGGGCCCCGCCTGGAGCCGCTCCACAAACGCCAGGTAGTCGGCATCTGCAGGGCGGGGGGGTGAGCAGGAGGGTGGGGGGCACGACAGAGGGCGAGGGCAGGCATGTGGTGAGGCAGGTGGGCACCCCAGGCCACGCACCACGCTCCTGCACGCTCGTGAATCGCTGCCTCTACCCAGCTGCACCGTGCCTGCGCCCTGCCGCCTGCCTGCTGCGCCCGCTCCCGCCCTGCCCACCCCACCTCTCTCGATGGTGCCCTCCTTTGGGTCCCGCTTCACACGCTGCCGTGGCACCCGCTGGTAGGCCGCATACTCCACCTGGCACCTGCGCCAGGCAGCCCGGCACGGCAGCGTGGCGGCACAGGCCAGCGAGGATGGCGCAGCACGCCAGCAGGGCAAGCGACAGAGGGGCAAGGTGCCTCAACAGGCACGCTCACAACCCACACCATGCACACAGGCGTGCACCTGAACTGCGTGCCGCGCTCGTTGACAAAGGCGTGGCCATCCCAGGCCTGCTGGAAGCGGGGAACGTCGGCGGCGTCCTTGAACCGCAGGTAGGCGCGCGAGTGCAACAGGTCCTTGGAGCTGCAGGGGCGCGCAATGAAAGGACAGCAGCTGCTCGCGCTCAGCCGTGGGCAAACCAGATGGCACAGGCGCTGCGGCCGGTGACGGACGAACGGGTGGCGCACCCCACCTCGCCTTGCCCTGCACGTAGCTGAACCAGTCTGCACGCTCAATCCACTCCCTCACCGCCCCTCGGAAGGCCTCCTCCTGCAACGCAGCAGCTGTGGTGGGGAGGTGACTGGGGCGGAGAGGAGGACCCCTGCCTGGCGGCGTCCCGGGACGTCCGAGACATTCCAAGGCGTATGACAGCATGCTGGCAGCGCCACCCACCTGCAGGGAGGGCGGCAGGCGCCGCACCACCACCTTGCACCTTGTGTCGCTGACCATGCTGCTGCTGGCTCACCTCAGCGATCTGGGTCGACACTAGGCGATGTGTCGCCCTTTCATCATGATCGTGTTGCGCCTGTGGCGCCAGCAAGGCAAAGCCGAAACCACCTGGCTACGATCGATTGAGATCGATATCGAAAGATGCACATATTGATATCAATGTAGCCTGTGCAACAGGGCCTGCAGCTTAGCAGCTCGATTTGCAATTGTTGCCGAGGCTTCTTGCGACAGTGAGGACTGCAGGCTTCCCTGGCACCAGGCATCCCAGGCGTGCTGTCTATCGAGCTGTCAATTGGCAAGCCTGCCGCAGTGCTGTGCTTGTGAGTCCACAATAACCACCGCCCCTACCTGCCCGCTCCAGCGGCGCTGTTGCCTCCTGTGTCTGTTGCCATCCCCCCTGCTCCTAATGACGTTCCTTCCGTGTGTGTTGCTAGGCTTCTGGCGTTTCGGCTGGGGCTCAGTCACGGTTGCTGCCCCTCCTGGCGCACGGGATCCCGCAGCAGCCGGAGCACCAGCCAGTGGCGCAGTCGCAGCCGCAGCCGCCGCTCTCGCTCGCGCAGCCGCAGCCAGGGGCAGGAGCGGGGAGGACAGGCGCCGGGGTTACCGCAGCGATTCGTGTGGCAGGGCGCGGAGGTGATGCACATGGTGCGGCGGATGCCAGCCAAAGCTGAGCTGGTCGCCTGCCGCTGCCTGGGTTACTCTCCACCTCTGTTCGCTCGCATGCTGTCCAATACCTCATGGGCACACCACCGTAGCTGTTTAGCGGTTGTGTGCTTTGTCGTTTGCTGCCGAGCTTTGTTGTGTGTGATGAGTTACGCATGTGAGCAGTGTGCATGAAGTGACATGCGCGCATCATCTTGCATGGGGAGAGCACTGAAATGAAGGTGCCCACATCCACCACTTGGCGACTTCAATTCAGGCAGCAGGCAGCCGGGTTCAGGGCATGCAGCTGCCAATGCACCGCTCCAAAAATCCCAACTGCTATCAACCAAGGAAGTATTACATGCACAAAATCAAAGCAAGCAACAACGGCAACATGCAATGCAACAACTTATTCTCGAGTGAAAACATCAATCAATCAAGCGGCACGGGGGCAGGCAACAACGGTCGGTGCCAGGTGGGGAGTTTCGAGGCTTGCAACAGGGCATCAGCCCTGCAGGCCGCGGCGCTGGCGCTTGAAGCCGCAGGACGCCTCCACCGCTGCCCTCGCCTGCTGCACAGCCTCTGCCTCCGGGTCGGCCTGCAATGCCGCGTCCAGAGCATCGTGTGCAGCGCGCCAGGCAGCCGCGGCGCGTGCCCACTCTGCCGCAGCGTTGGCCTGTTGCACCGCAGGCTGAGCGGCAGCGTGCTGGGCCGCTGCTTCGGCGGCCGCCTCGTGCCCTGCAGCAGCGGAGGCCCAGGCCACGGCAGCAGCCGCAGAAGCCTCGGCTGCAGCAGTCCGTGCGTGGGCAGGCCCCGGTGTAGGTGCCTGGGGCGCGGGTGGCCAGGGCCCGCTGGGAGGAGGGGGAGGCGGTGCCGCCTTGGTGGAAGGCGTGGTGCGCGCAGTGCTGGCGGCTTTACGCTGGGCCGGTTGCTGCTGCAGCCGCCGCTTGATTTCCTCATTTTTCCTCCTCATCTCCATTCTTTGCAGACTATCCTCCCGGATTTGCCTCAGCTCCAAGATCGTCATCTCGTGGCGAATCTGCGACTCCAGCTCCCGGCCGGTCACTGGCGGCGGTTCAAACAACCACGCCCACCATGGGCGCTGCGTGCCCTGCACGGCATGCATGCATGTTTCAGAGGGGGATGGCCGGGAAGGGTTGGGGGCAGGCAGTGGCAGCGACAGCGTTGTCGGCGGGCAGGTTGCTCTATGCCGCAGCGTGCAGCAGCACACACAGGCCCAGCAGGCGCACATTCACAGTGCAGGAGCCACACGGCCCTGACTTACGCTCGGAGGGCTCTGGTCGGGGCGCCGCTGGTGCGCCTCGCCGCCGCTGTGCGCCGCTGCAGCAACGACCACCAGCCTGGGGCGCCGCGCCCTAGGTGCTGCTGGCAGGGCAGTGAGTGAGAGCGAGGCCAGGCGAGGCGGAAGAAGGACTGCGCGGGCCGACATCTGGGCGACTGCGGACCGCCTGTTCACAGACATGGGGCATGTACTCCTCTTTTCGCGAAAAGAGGAGTAGAAGTAGTAGAAGAAGAAGAGATTACGCGGGACGCGTGATTTGCACCTCGGCCGTACTGGGAGGAAACGGGGTGTCAAGCCCCTGGCTCCCGTGTGGAAAACAACGAGGGGGAACAAAGGTGCAGGTCAGCCTGGATCGATCAGCCGCCGCCTCTTGGCCGCCGCTGCCCGCCTCCCCGCCACCTGCGCCGGCGCCGCTGCTACCTGGAGCCAACGGTGACACAATGATGAGCTTGCAAGTGTACCGCCTCTGTACACGCCGTTTGAAGCGAAACAGCTGTCGCAGCGTGCCTCTACATCGCCCTGTTTGGGCTTCCAGGAGGTCGCAGAGCCGCAACTGAGGTTGCAGCTCAAGAGTAAGCCATGCAGCTGAGCTACTCGCGCCGGCCTGCTGGCACCTCACCTGCGGCCTGCAACCTGCGGCGGCAGCATCGGGCTCCGCTCCCCAGGCGGGCTGCTGCCGCCTTCCCTGCGGGCCGCCCGCAGCTGCCTGGGGCCGCACGGCGCAGGCCGCCGCTGAGGGTCACCGCGGGGTTGCCCTATGTGCCTTTTGACGAGAAAATGTTTTTTACAATGATGGCAGTGGTTGCCCTCCAGCCACTGGTCACCTTCCTCGGAAAGCGCGTGTGCACCTCCCTGGTGTGCACATTCCCAACCCTGCGCTTCCTGGAGGAGGCGGCGGTGGAGGTGGAGCAGCTGCAGAAGGAGGTGGAGCAGCTGCAGAAGGAAAAGTCCGACATGGCCGCCACCATTGCGACGCTCACCAAGGAGCTCGCGGATGCCAACGCGGGCCCGCAGCCCGTCACCGCGTCCTGGGACGAGGATGCCTGAGCGCGACCCGCGCTCGCGCGGCTGATGGCAGGCTGCAGGGTGGGGCTGCATGCTGTGGGTGCGCACAATCAGGCAGACCAGCAGGAGCGGGGTGCACTTGCACACAGATGCCGCTTGCGCGCTCACCCGCCCGCCGCGCAAGCCTGTCCCCCTCGCTCGGAGTCTGCTAACAGCCTCCCGCTCATTCCGCCCCGTCGTCTTGCCCCCTCCCCTGCAGTAATGAGGGTTCGATGGAGGAAGAGAGAAGTGCTTGGTGCAATGGATCCCCTCCAGCACGGAGAGTGAGCGCAGCACGTGTCCCCACTGGCGACTGGCTCGGCAGCTGTAGGTGTGCCACCAGCCCCTGGGATTTTGTCGGCTCTGAATTTTCAGTATCTGTCAATTCTTCAATATCTGTCAATCTTTTTGTAAAGTAATCGGAACTTCAGCTTGATCGAAGCAGCGCACCAAGGGTTGGTTGTTACATGGAGGTGCACAGCAGGCGGAGCATGCCCAGCTGCCAATGGGTTGCAGGTCAGCAGCAGTAGCACAGCGGCATGCCACCGCAGCCCCATCTCTGCCCAGCCCGCCACTGCCCTCCCCGCGCATCAAGACTGGCAGGCCTGCTGCCGGGCAGGGCGCACCCTGGCTGCCCGCCGCCTCACATGCCACCTTGGGACCCAGCCAAGCTCAGGCCAACATGGCCAGCCAGCGCCGGCGTCAGCCCTGCACTGCAGTCAATGGCCACCTGCAAGTGAGGCGGGAGCAGCGCTGCTTGCACCAATAGAGCGTGTCGAACCGCCGCCTTGGGCAGGCCATGGGGCAGCAGCTGCGTTGAGCACCGCAGGCCAGCCAAAGCGAAGAGCCCGGCATAGACGCCAACACCAGCAGCATACCGCCACTGCCAAGCGCCACCGCTCTGCCACCCGCCACACAGCTAGCGCGGCTGCAGCAGCTGGCAGCGACGAGGACTGCAGCTTGCCGCGTTGGGCCAGCAATCTGGGGAGGCATACCGGGGCGCCCGTCGGCAGCTGGTTGGTCCGCAGCAGTACGGTGAATGCCAACTGCCATCAACCAAGGAGGTGGTTAAAGCAGAAACTCAACGAAAAAGCAACAACATGAAAAATGCAACAACTTTTTCTCGAGTGAAAACATCAATCAATCAAGCGGCACGGGGGCAGGCAAGCAACAACGGGCGGTGCCAGGTGGGGAGTTTGGGTTGCACACTCGGAAGCGGTGCGGAAACAGGGCATCAGCCCTGCAGGCCGCGGCGCTGGCGCTTGAAGCCGCAGGGCGCCTCCACCGCTGCAATCGCCTGCTGCACAGCCTCTGCCTCCGGGTCGGCCTGCAACGCCGCGTCCAGGGCGTCGTGCGCAGCGCGCCAGGCAGCCGCGGCGCGTGCCCACTCTGCCGCAGCGTTGGCCTGTTGCACCGCAGGCTGAGCGGCAGCGTGCTGGGCCGCTGCTTCGGCGGCCGCCTCGTGCCCCGCAGCAGCGGAGGCCCAGGCCACGGCAGCAGCCGCAGAAACCTCGGCTGCAGCAGTCCGTGCGTGGGCAGGCCCCGGTGTAGGTGCCTGGGGCGCGGGAGGCCAGGCCCGCTGGGAGGGGGGGGAGGCGGTGCCGCCTTGGTGGAAGGCGTGGTGCGCGCAGTGCTGGCGGCTTTACGCTGGGCCGGTTGCTGCTGCAGCCGCCGCTTGATTTCCTCATTTTTCCTCCTCATCTCCATTCTTCGCAGACTATCCTCCCGGATTTGCCTCAGCTCCAAGATCGTCATCTCGTGGCGAATCTGCAACTCCAGCTCCCGGCCGGTCACTGGCGGCGGTTCAAACAACCACGCCCACCATGGGCGCTGCGTGCCCTGCACGGCATGCATGCATGTTTCAGAGGGGGATGGCCGGGAAGGGTTGGGGGCAGGCAGTGGCAGCGACAGCGTTGTCGGCGGGCAGGTTGCTCTATGCCGCAGCGTGCAGCAGCACACACAGGCCCAGCAGGCGCACATTCACAGTGCAGGAGCCACACGGCCCTGACTTACGCTCGGAGGGCTCTGGTCGGGGCGCCGCTGGTGCCGCTGGTGCGCCTCGCCGCCGCTGTGCGCCGCTGCAGCAACGACCACCAGCCTGGGGCGCCGCGCCCTAGGTGCTGTCCGTGTGTGCCGGGCAGTGAGTGAGAGCGAGGTCTGGAAGCAGGACTGTGCGGGCCGACTGGATAGTGTGCGGGAGGCCAGGATGCGTACAAAGCACAACTGCGCACAGCGATGGGAGTATATGCAGCCAATCGGAGAGCTATGGTGTTTCGCCCGCTGGCGCCAGCAAGCCAATGCTCAGTCAATACTGATGATCAAAAGTTGCATATATCGACATGTATATATGCAGACCTCTGTGCCCAGGACCGGCAGCTCGGCAGCTCGATTTGTTGTTGCCGAGGCTTCTTGCGACCGCTGAGACTGGAGGCTTCCGCCCCAGGCATCACAGACGAGCTTTCAAGCCTGCGGCAGTGCTGCGCTTGTGAGTCCACCGTCTACCACCGCCGCCGCCAGGCAGCGGCACACAGGTCGCTGTCGGCCCACTCCCGCCTTGCTGTTGCTGTTGCCATCCCCCTGCTCCCCTTGACTTTCCTCCCTTGCGTGTGTTGCTAGGCTCATGGCTTTTCGGCTGGTGCTCATCACGCCGCCGGAGGCCGCCACACCGCGCGAGCTGGAGCTGGCCACAAGCCTGTTCAAGCGGGGGCTGTGCACCCTGCACCTGCGCAAGCCTAGTTGCGACCGCGAGCAGGTGGCGCAATACCTGGCAGCGCTACCGCCCGATGCCCGCCGCCGCACTGTGCTGCACCAACACCACGACCTGGCAAAGCAGTCTAGCATCGGCGGCATACACTACCGGGAGGCAGAGCGGCCGCCGGGCGTCATAAAGGCGCCGCCGGGGCTGTCAGGTGGGCTTGGGGAGGAGGGGCAGGCCGGGACGAGCAAAATAGCAGCAGGCATGCCATCACCCTGCGCCTCTGCTACTGCTGCTGCAGTGTCCACCTCCTTTCACACGCTCCCCGACCTGGGCGTGTGCCGCGGCGAGGTGGACTACTGCTTCCTGTCCCCCATCTACGCATCCATCTCCAAGCCAGGCTATGGGGAGGCGGCGTTCCCAGACCCAGGCGAGCTGGCAGGTGGCCTGGCGGGCAGCCGGTACCCTGTGCTGGCGCTAGGAGGGGTGACACGCGACAAGTTTGGCGAGCTGGCGGAGCTGGGGTTTGCGGGGGCGGCGCTGCTGGGAGCGGTGTGGGCAGCGGAGGACCCGCTGGCAGCCTGGGAGGCGGCGGTGGCAGAAGCCGCGCGGCTGGGATGACGAAAAGCTTATTAGCTTGATGTGGAATGCATTGGCATACAGCAGAGGCATTTAACCCAGCCTCCCGAGCACTGCGAGACGCAGCGCGGGTGGGTGACTCACCCGCCCGCCCGCACGGGGCCCCCGGGAGGCGGCGCTGAGCTGGGTGGGCGGCCTCCAGTCGCTGTTTGGCGCTTCTGTCGGCATCGTAACCTACCTTGACCCGTCATCGAGAGGGGTGGGGCCTCGTTTGGCCAGCGCTGGACGACAACGCATCCCCATGCATGGGGATCTCCCGCCTAAGGGCCCTTCCTCCCGGCGAGCATTTTTGGGCCTCTGAGATTGCCTTGAGCTCGGGCGATGCGCAGGATCGCCGATTCTGAAGAGGTCAAAAGGGCCCTTTCGGCTCCGACGTCGCCCGGTGACTGGCCAAAGAGAACCCCAGGCGCATTGCTCTTCCGCATGCGCGGCCCTCCACCCTTATTCTTTTCTGGCATACCTCGTCCATCCCGCCAACGCCTGCTCTGCCCGGATTTGCCTCAGTCCCGCACCTCCGGTCCTGCTCCCTCCCCTGCAACAGCAGCATGGCGTCCCTCCGCTGCGCCACCCGGCTCGCTAGCCTAACCAGAGTCAGCCAAAGCGTCTTCGCCAGGCTTCCCGGCTTCGCGGGCGGCCAGGCGCACACAGCGGTGCGCGCGTCTCCGCTGCTGGTGCGGGCCTGCGCCGCGGCTGCAGAGCTCGCCAAACAGCCGGTCCTGGACAACAAGATGTTCTGTTATCAGGTGAGAGGCGCTTGGTTTGGGTCCTTGTCAGACGCATGGCATGGGGTGGCTGTTGCCGCCGCCGCCTGCGGCGCCCACACGCTCGGCTTGCTTGCTTGCTTGTGTGGGCTGACAGTCTGGTTTCAGCAAGAACGAGCTTGCAGCACAGACTTGGCTTCCTGATCCCTCCCTCTGCCACCCTGCCCCGGTGGCCCTCCACGCCCTGCCCCCCTGCAGTGTGAGCAGACCAGCAAGGGCACGGGCTGCACCACGGTGGGCGTGTGCGGCAAGACCCCCGAGATGGCGTTCCTGCAGGACCTGCTGACCTACAGCCTCAAGGGCCTGGGCTGCTGGGCCGACTTTGCGCGCCAGCAGGGCGTGGAGGTGCCCCGCAAGGTCTACTCCCTGCTGAACGCAGCCACCTTCGCAACCCTCACGAACGTGAACTTTCACGACGCGCGGTTCAAGGTCCGTGGTGCCCAGAGCGGGGAAGGAGATGGAAAAGCACCGTGGCGGCATTCTGCCGTGCACAGGCCCGCCATCCTGCCCACGCGCCCCTGCCTGCTGCTGCCACACACCCACTCTCCACTCCCCGCCTCTCCCTCACCTGCAGGAGTACATCTCCACCTGCCAGTCCCTGCGCGAGGGCCTCGAGAAGAGCCTGCGCGACAAGGGCATCGATGCCTCGCCCCCCGCCCCCGTCAACCTGCCCTGGTTCGACCTGCTGGCCCACCCCGCAGCGTGAGTGGCGAACCCTGCATGCCGCGTTGCCCTGCTTTGCCCAGCGCCTTGCTCCGCAGACTGGAATGCCGGTCCTTGGCACGCGCCAGCCACCGACATGCAGCACCCTGCCTCCGCCCGCCCCCCCTTCCGGCTGCAGGTGGAAGCTGAACCAGAGCTACCTGGCCGCCGCCTCCATGGACCAGCTGACGCAGCTGGGCAAGATGACGTCGCTGGAGCACCGGCGGCATGTGGTGGACCCCACGCTGCTGGGCTTGCACGAGGTGGGAGGCGGCGGCGGGCCGGCAGCAGCGCAGCGGCTGCCGCCAGCCAGGGCTGCCGCCGCCGCGGCCGGGCCATCGTGCGGCTGCCGTGATGACTGCGCGTCCCCACCCCGCCTGCGCCTCGCCTGCCCGCCCGCCTGCAGATGATCACCTACGGCCTGCGCGGCCTGGCTGCCTACTCGCACCACGCAGAGGTGCTGGGCCACCGCGACCCCGAGGTGTGCATGTGTGTGTGTGCGCGCGTGTGTGTGTGTCGATGGCTGTGCCTCGGGCAGAGTTGCCTCGCCTGCACGCGCCTCGGTCCCGCCCACCAGCCTCAGCCTCAGCCCCAGCCCCGCCGCCTCCTCCACCTGCTGCGCTGCGCCCGTGCCCCGCGCCCGCCTCCCGCGCGCAGGTGGATGAGTTCATGGCCCGCTGCTACGCCTTCCTGTGCTCTGAGGATGCCCTGGACCTGGGCAAGACCCTGGGCATGGTTGACGAGCTGGGGGCGGTGGGCGTTAAGGGCATGCAACTGCTGGACAAGGGTGGGTGAGGGGCGGGCGGGCGGCTGGCTGCGTGGCTGGGTGGCTGAGCACGTGCCGCTGCTCCGTGCCTGCCCTGCGCCGCGTTCGCCAGGCCTGCCACTTACCTGCCATCCTGAGCCCTGCCGGCCGCCTGCCCCAGGCCACACCACCAAGTTTGGCCACCCAGAGCCCACCCAGGTCCGCATCACCCCCAAGAAGGGCAAGGCCATCCTCATCAGGTGGGGGCGCTGTGCTGTGGTGGGCCTGCGGGGGCGCCACTTTTGGCTGTGCCGACGCGCTGCTGATGTGCGTGGCTGGGCGCTCCTGCCTGCTGCCCACCATGCCCCCCCGCTTTGCCTTGCGTGTGCGCAGCGGGCACGACCTGCAGGATACTCACGACCTGCTGGCACAGACGGAGGGCACGGGCATCAACGTGTGGACCCACGGGGAGCTGCTGCCCGCCCACGGCTACCCCGCGCTGAAGAAGCGCTTCCCGCACCTGGTGAGGCGGGGGGAGGGAAGGAGGCATGAGAGGGAGGGCAGGGCGCAGGGTGGGGCTGCCGGAGGGCAATGGGGCTCTGCCGCTCTGCTCCACATAGCATCTGACGTGCCCGCGCCTGCCCCCACTGGCCGGCACCGCAGGTGGGCAACTACGGCGGCGCCTGGTACCGCCAGCAGAAGGACTTTGCCGAGTTCCCGGGTGCCGTGCTGGTGAGGCGTGGCGAGGCAGACCTGTGCCTGGGCTGGCACGACTGGGGGCCGTCCTCGCCGCGTGCCGCTCCGGCTGCTCCTGCTGTTGCCGAGCCTGCTGCGTGTGCCTGCTGCCCTCCCCCGCCTGCAGATGACGACCAACTGCATCGTGGAGCCGCGCCAGTCGTACGCGGATCGCATCTTCACCACCGGGGAGGTGGGCTGGGCTGGGGTGCGCCACATCGAGGGCGAGATGGGGCGGACCAAGGACTACTCTGCGCTCATCAGCAAGGCACAGGTGGGGGCGGCGCTGGGGCTGCGGCGGTCGGGGCGAGCCCGCCGGGGCGCTGCTGCTGGCTGTGCTGGCCAGTGCATGGCTGCCGAGTGCATGGCTGGGCGCCCTTGCCTGCTGCTCACCATGCGCCCCTTTGCTCCTGTGCGCCACGCTGGCAGGAGCTGCCCGGTTTCGAGTACGAGCCGCCCGAGAGCGAGGCCAAGTTTGTGACCACCGGCTTTGCGCGCAACGCGGTGCTGGGGGTGGCCGGGGAGGTGGTGAAGGCGGTGCAGGAGGGACACCTCAAGCACATCTTCCTCATCGGCGGCTGCGACGGCTCCGGTGAGCAGCGGGCGCAGCGGCGGCTGGGCTGGGAGCCAGCACGCTGCGCGGCTGCACGCCTGCTGGCTTCTGTGCCATGCTGTGGCACCCACTGCCGGCCTCACCCCTGCCGCCTGCCCCTGGCCCCTGCAGAGCCTGACCGCAAGTACTTTGGGCGTGTGGCCGACGCCACTCCCCAGGACACCATGGTGCTCACCCTGGGCTGCGGCAAGTTCCGCTTCTACGACCACGACTTCGGCATGCTGCCCAACACCCCGCTGCCCCGCCTGTGAGGCCCGCCTGCTGCTGCGGTGGGACGAGCCCAGCCTCGCCAGCCATTTGGACCGCTCGGGCGATTCCTGCGTCCCACCCCCGCCCCTCACGCGCCCCTCCCCTCCCCGCAGGGTGGACATGGGCCAGTGCAACGATGCCTACAGCGCGGTGGTGGTTGCCAGCAAGCTTGCCGAGGTGTTTGGCACAGACATCAACGGCCTGCCGCTGTCGCTGGACCTGTCCTGGCTGGAGCAGAAGGCGGTCATCATCCTGCTGTCGCTGCTGCACCTCAACGTCAAGAACATCCGCATAGGCCCCAGGGCGCCCGCCTTCCTCACCCCCGAGGCGCTCAAGGTGTGGGGGAGGCGGGTGGCTGGCAGAGAAGGCAGCCTGCCTTGCACGCAGCATGGCTCGGCCCTGGGGTGGCACCCGCGCCCCGTCCCCAGCGCCCGAGCTGCCTGCCCGCGCTCCCCGTGTGCAGGTCATTGTGGACAAGTGGAACTTGCAGATTGTGGACACCAAGAACCCCGAGAGCGACGTGCAGAAGATGATGGCGGGGCAGTGAGTGCGCCCCCCTTTTCCAGCCGCAGGAGAGGAGAGCACGCAGACGAGAGCGCATCCCTCCGAGTTTCAGCCAGCCAGCCAGCCCTGTTTTGTTTCCTGTTTAGTGTGTGCAGACGCTACGACTTCCAACCCACTCCCTCCTGACCTGAACACCAGCAAATTACAAATTTTGATCCCTCTCAATTCTTCCTTGCAAGGCCACTCTCCTGGTAACGCACGCCTTTACAAAACCGCAGCGAAAACCAAGAGCGCTGCTGCACAACCGGCCAACCGCCACACAACCGCCGCACCGAAAACCCAGCGCCCGTCGCCCCACCAAGGCTCACAGCTCCAAGCCGGGCGGGAAGGTGTGCTTGCCCTGCGCCGGCGGCTGCGTCTTGGCCTCCAGGAAGCGGTTGAGCAGGCGCACGGTGCTGGCGTTGAAGCCGTCTGCCTTGCTGACCTGGCGCCCCGCGGACCGCGCCTCCTGCACCTTGCTCCGCACCTTGTTGGCCAGCACCTGCACCACCGGGAGGAGCAGGCGGCGGGTGGCGGGTGTGGGCGGCAGCCGGGCAAGGGCAGCCGTGAGGCCGCCGCCCTGCGCTGCAAGCAGCGTCCCTGCCCCGCTCCTCAGCCCGGCACCAGCGGGTGAACACCTTGCCCAGCTCCACGCCCCACTGGTCGAACGAGTTGATGCCCCACACAAACCCGCTGGTCGCCACGCGGTGCTCGTACATGCTGCACGCGAGGCAGGGCTGGGGTGTGTTTGTGTGCACGGCGGTGGGGCAGTGGGGGCACCTCCTCACTCGCCCGCCAGCAGGGCAAGGCAAGCACAGGCAGACCGCAGCGGCCCGGCCCCACCTCAGCAGCTGGCCCAGTGTGTATGCGTTCAGCTCGGGCAGCAGGATGCTCAGCGACGGCCTGTTGCCTGCAGCGAGTCGCAGCGGGGGCAGCGCGCTGGTGGCCAGAGCGCAGTGGAACGCGCTGCCCGGGCCCTTGCCTCCTCCGTCCGACCAGCCGCCCCTGCCCGCCACCCACCCGTGAACGTCTTGTGCGGCACCAGGTGCTCCGGCACGCCCTCGGCGCGCAGCGTGCCGCTGTCCTTGCCGCAGGCCAGGGCGTCGGGCTGGGCAAAGAAGTTGCACATGAGCTCCTCGTGGCTGCTCACCTTCTCGCCCTGCACCAACCACGGCAGCGGCAGCCCAGCACGTCAGCACAGCAGCAGGTCACCCGGCCTGCAGCAACCCGTCCAGCCCCCCACACCCACCCACCCCCACCGCCCCACCGCTCACCCCCAGGTACACATCCTGCTGGCTGCGCACGACGGCGATGAACTCTGCGGGGATGGTGCGGCCCTGGTGGATGAGCTGGTAGAAGGAGTGCTGCCCGTTGGTGCCGGGCTCGCCAAAGTCAATCTCGCCTGCGGGGCCCAGGGGGAGGGGGAGCGCGCGGGCAGCGCAGCGTGTGTGGTGGGGCTGGGCACTGGCGTGGCTGCCCTATGGTGGAAGCAAGAGGCTGTCTGCTGGCTGGCCGGCCGGCCTGCTCCCTCCTTCTGCCTGCCTGCCCGCCCAGCTTCTCCACGCC